TGTGGGAACATGAATAGGATGCACCAATCCTTCTTTAATCTTTGTACGAACAATGTGACAATCAATGTCAATGTGTTTCGTACATTCATGGAAAATAGGATTAGAGGAAATGTAAATGGCTGACTGATTATCACATCCAAGAGGAATGGGCAGCTGCAGCGAAAAACCAAGATCAATTAGAAGCTGAGTAAGCCAAATAAGTTCACAAACCATGGAACATGGCATGATATTTAGCTTCAGAGGAAGATCTAGACACTGTAACTCGTCGTTTAGATTTCCAGGACAGCAAAGAATTGCCCAAAAAAATACAGAATCCAGTTACTGATTTACGTGTCATAAGGCAAGAAGCCCAATCAGAATCACAAAAGGCTTGAAGATGCACTGTGACATGAGCTGGAAAGATACCATGTTTGATTTTGTTTCAGAGAAGAAGAAGACGACTTTATTACTTCAGCTAAAAAGCTTAGTTAATACAAATGTTTATTACAGCTATATACAAACTTTATTAAACTCAGTAACTATGGTCAAGTAAACCAGTAAACCATAGTTAGGCTAACTAACCACATCATTTAACAACTAACCAACTGAATTCTAACTAACTAAAAACTAATTAAACCAAATTAATCAACTAATTACAATTACATTAATAATCCAAGATGTATGACCAATCAATTGACATATATATATATATATAATTGTTTTGTCCTCTGTATTAAAACCCGGACCGGTTCGATCGGGACCTAGCAGCTTCTTCGGTTTGGTTCAGGGTTTATAACAATCGAAAGAAACAAATAAATGCAGTAACAGTTAGGTGAAGATGTGGAAATGGGTTGTTGGTCTTTCTTTGAACCGCGTTATCCCCATAAATGCAATACGACTTTTTTCTGTTCAAGTTGTTCTTGGTCATGTGGCCTTCAATAATATTTTTATACGTGCACCTACCAAATTAAACAGTTCCAAGTTGTGGTTGACAAACGAAAAGATAGATTTTTTGAGTGTATAATAGATGATTAACACAACAAACTGTTTAAATGCATTCGTATCAACTTGGGACTCTGATTATTATATATATGGAGTCACAAGTATTCACTACTCAAAGAAAGAAAAATTAGAAATGGAGCTGAGAGAACCTGTAAGTCCTACGGGTCAATACTTGAACAGCTCAGCTCTTTCGCTTAGTGTTTATGCTTTTCTGGAATTTGAAGTGCCAATTGATGATTTACCATTTATGCCGTTGATCAAGGATGTGTTTCTCTCCATCAACTCACGTTTCTCCTCCATCATGGTAATACGCCACTGATTTGCTACTGAAATTAATTGTTCTATTGCGTGCCATTATATATATTCAAGCACTTGTCCTTCATATATCATATAAATTACTTGTTATTATGGTATTATATGAGCTTATTATGTATTATATATGATAATTGATCAACAGATTGTAGATAAAAACGGAGAGAAACAATGGAAGCGGGTTGAAGTGGAGATCAAAGACCACGTAAACGTGCCCATTTTCCCCTCTGGACTTTCAGCGGAATCTTATGATAAACATCTTGATGACTATTTCGCCAAAATAGTAATGGAAGAGCTTCCGAAATCCCGACCTTTATGGGAAATCCATATAATCAAATACCCTACCAGCAGCGCGGCCGGTGTTATAATATTCAAGCTCCACCATGCCCTTGGTGATGGCTTCTCTTTAATAGGAGCCCTCCTTTCATGTTTACAGAGGGCTGATAATCCTTCTCTTCCATTGACATTGCCTTCTGTTCAGTTAACCTCCAACAGGAATGGTGACTGTAATCACAAAATATTGAGGAGTGTGCCAAAGATTTTTTCTTTGGTTTCTAAGACTGTAACAGATTTTTGTTGGAGCATATTCAAAAGTACTCTGGTTGAAGATGATCAAACTCCGTTACGATCTGGTGACGTTGGAGTTGAGTTTCGGCCAATCGCCATAGCAGCAATGACTTTCTCTCTTGATCGCATCAAGCAGATTAAGGCCAACAATGGAGCGGTATGGTTCGGTTCTTGCTGCATAAACTAGCTAAACAAAATATCATTTTAATTAATAATAATTTAATTAAAAATATCTTAATCAGATAGGAGTAACGGTCAACATGAATTCTTATCATAGTCGTAGTAATGGTCAGCATGAAAATCTTAAATAAGCGTTCAAATGAGTGGAAATTTGGACAGCGATATTCCATAAATCGATCATCATTTTTTTTTTTTTTTTTTGAAATGTTTCACTTTGAATAATGATATAATTTAAGTAACACTTAAATTATAAAAAAGTATGCTGAAAGTTGACTTGCTTACCTATCAACAACTTAAGTTTATAATATTTTGGATAGTTGGAAGTTGCTTACTAATTAACTTTTTCAACAACTTAATAAAATGTTATTCAGCTAGGGGCCTAACGAGTAAAGATTACTGCAACCTACTAAGTGGGGGAATCATAAGTTATGGGTTGAGGGAGTGATGTGGCATTGAAACCTACGATTGGTTGTGTTCCCATTCCAGCCGTAACTCTAAATGTTAAACTTCCATTAAGTCATGCATGAAGGTCTTGTCTATTTCGGAAAAACGGCCTATGAATTTATGAATAAAGTAAAGAAGGAACAATAATGCAATTCAAATTAATTACTCGAGCTGTTTAATTTTCTTCCTGTGTTTATGATATTTTTAGTTTTTCAATGAATTTTCTCTCACTGATATTATTACAGACGATTAACGATGTCGCTGTGGGAATAATCTTCTTGGGAATGCGGTTATATATGCAAGAAATGAGCCAGGACTCGTGCAAAGCGCAGACTACCGCGCTGGTGCTGCTTAATACCAGGGTGTTTCGAAGTTACGAGTCAGTGAAGGAAATGGCTATGCCTAGCGCCAAGACGCCGTGGGGGAATCGTTTTGCCTTCTTACATGTACCTATACCTCAGTTAACTGATGCTATATCTTCAAATCCATTGGATTTTGTCTCCAAAACACAGCAAGTTATGAATGACAAGAAAAGCTCCTTAGCTGTTTTCCTCACTGGTCAACTTCTGGAGTTTTTAAAGAAATTTAGAGGCCCTGAGGTACGTCTAAACATATATAATGAGTTTCCAGTGTTCTAAATAATCATATATTTGAAATTTTTTCAATCATTTATAACAAGAAATTATTAAAAGTATAACAAGTAAGTAGGCACCGGAAGATGTACACTAATTTTGAAGGAATATTGTTTCCTGGGCATATTTTGTGCTACAGGCAGCTGCTAGATATATTCATACCACTTTAAAGAACTCGACTGTGGGAATCTCAAACCTCATCGGTCCAACGGAAAAGATGGTTTTGGCTAATCATCCGGTTAAAGGTTTGTACTTCACGGTGGCTGGGGCACCTCAGGTACTTATTTTTCATTAATTTACAAGTATAATTAGCCACTTTAATTTGGTTGTCGTCCCCTTTATCATCTTGGAAGTAACGTGCTTCAATGGATTGGATTAATTACAGAGTCTTTGCATAACAATAGTAAGTTATATGGGAAAGCTTCGGGTTGCTGTGGGAGCAGAAAAAGGATTCGTCGACGCCCACAAGTTGAAGTCTTGCATAGAAAATGCTTTTCAGATGATACATACAGCTGCCTGTGGAATTGCTCCTCAACAAGCAAGAGCATGACACAAAGTGCTTTTTAATTATGAATAGTTTCAAACTAAAGTATTATGGAGATTAATCGGTGCTCGGTGGTTTTGCTAAAATACTAATACACATTAATAATGTTTCCTTCTTATTTATTATTTTTTTTTTTTTTTTTTGTTGGATGTTTTTGGGAATATTGTACACAAGTATGAAAAATAATATAACACTTACAAAATTTCTATGGAAAGTTTTTCATACAAAGTGATGTGTCAAAATATAATTAAATGAGTTGATGTAAAAATTATTCACTGTTATTTAATATATATTTATTAAGTTGATTTTTATATAAATTCATCTAATCATAATTTGGTATATCACTCTAAATGAAATACTTTGTATAGTCTTTATAAGTATATTATTATTCATGTATGATATAGATAGTGGTGTTGTGTATTTAATTTGTATCAGTAAATTATAAGAGCTTTATTCTTGTATTACTTTGGTAGTTGTCGTAAATGTTCTGAATTATTCTAGAAATTAGAATAAATAATCGATCCATTCTTCTCTTATGTGCATTATCTTAAAAATAAGCTTCCTGATCCGTTAAAGTACGGGGTTTATTCGAAGAAAGCTGTCATTTATTATCAATTCCTCATTAATACGATAGAATAATTATGATATAATATCTAAAATTAAGACTTTGTAAGAAAAAAGATCCCAACTGTGATTTGCGAATTTATTAATTTGTTGAGTGAGGTGACAACAATATTGTATATATCATCGAGTCTCTTCTATAAAAGATAAAATAAAAAAGTGCTATTTTGTATCACTTCGAAAGAAACAAAACGGTAACACATATGATAGAACCAAACTAAATATAAGGCTGACAATCAGCCTGGTGAAACTTAAATCAATGCTGGGTCCTAACTAGGCGTGCTTGTCACATCGTCACATAATGAAACACGTCAAAACAAAATATAATTGAATAATCCCTTTGATATAATAGCATGTTTATGAATGAAATTGGACAAGTCGATGATATGTATCAGTACCTGTGTGCTCTGCTCACGGTGCAGAACCAACCCACTCTCAATTCACGGTATTGAGAAGACCAAACAAGTGTTTGCAAAAAACTCTTCCCCCTTCCAAAACAACTCATGGTTACACATAGGCAATTCCGTACAACTTGGGAAACATGCGTATCCCATAATAATGAAAAACATTAACTACAAAAAACAAACAACCAAGCAAATAAAAGTAACAGACAAAAGTCTGATAATAGCCAGTAAAACAATAAATGATAATGAGATCAAATCCCGTGAATCAAGCAACGTAATCGGCCAACTTAAGCGAAACCTCCGAGTGTGTCTCCGTTACTCATTAATGCTGAAGTAGTCGACAACTCTAACAAAAGGAAGAGAAGGATCATCAGCTCTTTGTAAACATGAAAGAAGAGCTCTCATTAAAGAGAAGCCATCACCAAGCGAATGGTGAAGTTTGAATATTAAAACACCGGGTGCAGTGGTAGTAGGGTATTTGAATATATGAATTTCCCATAAAGGTCGAGATTTTGCGAACTCTTCCATTCCTATTTTGGAAATATATTCATCAAGATAGTTGTCATAAGATTCCGGTGAAAGTCCAGAGGGGAATATAGGCACGTTTACATGGTCTTCCAGTGTAACTTCCACTCTCTTCCATTGTTTCTGTCCATTTTCGTCTACAACCTGTTGATAAATTTCCACCCGTTAATTAACACCATATACACAAAAAGGGAAAATCATAGGGTTTGTTGCTTGTATATATGTATTAAAAAAGGTGAATTAATATATATGCATGATGCATGGTGGTGGTATTGAATGGAAAGCAGAAAGTTGTTTTCAATATAGTTCAATTAATAACTCTACATAGAAACAGACAGGAGATAACGAAGAGATTACGTACCATGACAGAGGAGAAACGTGAGTTGATGGGAAGAAAAACATCCTTGAGTGAGGACATAGTTTGAGAATCATCAATTGGTACTTCAGATTCAAGAAAACAAAGAACAGATAACGAAAGAGCTGAGCTGTTCAAGTATTGTCCCGTGGGGCTTACAGGTTCTTTCAGCTCATCCAATGTAGTTTTGCTTATTTGAGCCTATCTCTCAGCTACTAACCACAGACACTCTACTGTTTATATAATCCTAATTGTGTGTGTACACGTAAGCGTCAAAAAGAATAACATCAATGCCAATATGCTTTGGCCATGCTTTGTTGTCTCACAAATCTTGGAAGTTTGCTAGGATTATCAATTATGATTTGAATATATAAATAAAAAAAATCACTACGAAATGAATTCGATTTAAAAAAAATAAAAATAAAAAATATTATGACCAATTATTTAAGCATGGCTAAAACAATAGAATATATAAATTAACAGCGATGGGCAGCATAATTAACTTGATCGAAACATGGTTTGCTAGAAGCTGCCCTACATGTGCAGTTGGATCACTGATTTGATTTTTCTTATTATAAGGTTACAATACTGCGTGGTCTTGCAAATTTCATCTCAATTTACAACTAGCAATTTTAATACTTACTTCAGCCCAATTCTCAAAATTTTATAATTAATTTTGTTCTGATCAAATTGGTAATTGAAATTTAATTATGTGGACAGTCTGTCGATTATGTGGCTGATTAATTACTCTCTTCATTTTATAATTTATAAATGGGAATTTCCAAGTGGCAAATTATAAGTGTGATGGTGGGAGGAGGTGATAAGTCATCTGAAAAGTGTACATATTAAAGGGAGAGTTGCCCAATGGTTGATACTCGGGAATAATTTACCCGGACAGACAACCAAACCCTAAATTAGGTTTTTTTTTTCTAACTCTACATGAGAAAACGACCTTTTTCCACCCAAGATTTGATTTAATAACACTTTCCCACCTAAAAAATTTTAAAATAACAATTTACTACCCAAAGTTTATTTTCTGACCAATCGCCGGCTGATTTCGGTATCGTTACGACCCTACACCACCACCATTTTTCATCACTACTCAAACCTTGCTCCCGCCGACCCTACCAATTGCCAAAAATCGAGCAATTTGTGAAATACATAGCCACCCCTCCCAAGTCAGATTCTGACTAATCTCAACCACCAAAAGACTCATTGGCATCCCCTCTTCAAAAGCCCCAATAGTTTAGACCGATTTCATTCTCCGTTCGCAACCGAATTAGAAAGTGTATTTTGGATAGTAAACCGAATATAAACTTTAAGTAGTAAATTGGTATTTTAAAACTTTCAGTGTGAAAAAGTGTCATTAAGACAAACCTTAGGTGGGAAAAAGTCCTATACTCAACTCTATATTAATAATTTATTCTGAAGCTAGGTTTGGCACTTTGGCAGAAGTTCTATACATCCAGTCAAACCTTACCTTTATATTGATCCACTTCACCATAAACATTTTTAGTAAAAGAGATAAGGAGTATAGGACTTTTTCCTATCCAAATAATAGTTTAATGACACTTTCTCACCCACGAACTTTTAAAATACCATTTTATTAGTCAAAGCACAATTCCATTAATAAATTTTATTGTGAAGAAGGATAAGNCCAATAGTTTAGACCGATTTCATTCTCCGTTCGCAACCGAATTAGAAAGTGTATTTTGGATAGTAAACCGAATATAAACTTTAAGTAGTAAATTGGTATTTTAAAACTTTCAGTGTGAAAAAGTGTCATTAAGACAAACCTTAGGTGGGAAAAAGTCCTATACTCAACTCTATATTAATAATTTATTCTGAAGCTAGGTTTGGCACTTTGGCAGAAGTTCTATACATCCAGTCAAACCTTACCTTTATATTGAGCCACTTCACCATAAACATTTTTAGTAAAAGAGATAAGGAGTATAGGACTTTTTCCTATCCAAATAATAGTTTAATGACACTTTCTCACCCACGAACTTTTAAAATACCATTTTATTAGTCAAAGCACAATTCCATTAATAAATTTTATTGTGAAGAAGGATAAGATGGTCAAAAGTTTGTTATAAATAAGGGCATGATGGTCGATTAATATTTTGCATACAAAAATTAAAATTTAAAATTGAAGTTTGGATAATTATAGGGTTAATGGTTGCCACGTATTTTCTTTGTAAAGTGATTAAACAAATTAATCAAATCTGAATGAAAAAGTGAATAAAAAAATCTAAAATGTTTAATCAAATCTCAAATCTCTCCTGAGAAGAAAGTGATCAAATCTACCCCTACCCAAGTTTACTTATCCTGCTCATCCTCACAACAAGGGCTATGGCATTTTCTAGTGTTTTAACGGTCTGAAACAAAATTGGCTCAAGCTCAACCCACTAAAAAAATCTTCTCACTTTCTGTGGAAATTATCTCTTCGTTGCCAACACTTTCTTCTCACTAATTCCCATTTTTTTGTCTTAATTTCTTTCAAATAAATAAAAATTAAACCCATTTGCTTTTCTAATCTTGTTTCATCATTATAGGTAAAATCTTGTCAGGAAGTTCGGTTCGAAGAATTTTGGTTAGAGAGGCAAACAACTATGCTACCATAGCCCTTGTTGTGGCAATGAGCAGGAGAACTAAACTTGGGTAGGGGCTGAAGAACTGAGAAGAAAGTGATTAAAAAAATTAAAAAGAAAATGAGAAGAACTGATATAAGAAAAAGAGAAGAAAATGTAAATGAAAGTAAGAAGAAAGTAACGAAGAACGAGAAGAAGAGGAGAGGCGATGGAAGAAAACGAAAAAGAAAAGAAAAGAAAAGAAAAAATTTCATATTTTATATTTTATATTAACATTATTTTTAATAAAAAACTAGAGGTATAAATTGGTAATTCACATTATATGGGGGCATATAAAAAAATTCGGGTGCCTTTGTTTTAGTATTTTGGATATTATTTTTGAAAAAAAGTAAGAGTTGGTAGTTATTACGAGGTATGATTTGAAAAATAACAAAAACACCTTCTTAGGTTTGTTAATTTACTAAACACCCCTATAATAAAATATTAAAAATTAACAAAAACACTTTCACCCACCCATTAAATACTGACAACCGGCCACCACCATCGGAGGGTGACCGAAATCTAGTAAATGTGGGTGGGTGGGGGTGCTTTTGTCAATTTCTAAACTTTTTTTTGGGTGTTTAGTTAAATTAACAAACTTAGGGGGTTTAAAAATAATTGAATAAAACATAATAGTATTTTCAGAATAGAGAAACAAATGCTTATTTTGGAAATGATAGGAATAGGATATGGCAAAAATAGGGAAACAAACGCACCCTCATATTTAAAAAGTAGGTATATTAGTAATTGACTCATTGATAAATATGGCATAAAAAAAAATTAATTCAGATAATAAAAGGCATTTTTGTCTTTACAATGAATTAACGAAAATTATTAATAGAACATAACGTCTGAATAGTAAAATAGTATTTTAAAAATATTGGTAAAAAGGTGTCATTAAACCATTTTTGGGTGAAAAAAAGTCATTTACTCACAGAGAAAGTATTGGTTTAATACGTAGTATCTAAAAAAAAAAAAAAAAACTGAAGCAATTATAATCTCAAGAACTAATTAATTTGAGTCGAGATCATCTATTAAATATTTGAAGAACAAAAACTATATTTTAATTAGTTTATTGTATAGTATGTTTGTGTCATGAGATTCCAGAGAATAGTGTTCCCTAATACCTGGTTTTTACCTTTAAGGAGACTTGAGCTTTTAATTAGTTGTACACAAAAAATAGCGAAAACAAATCCTGACAAAAATAAAAATTGCCTCTGGCGTCAACTTTTACCTAATTAGAAAATAACCATGTAATAATAAAGAATTAATTATATATATTCTGACATATATCTGTAATGAGAAAGAGATAAAGATAATGTTACATTCAATGACCAGTGTATTTCTTTTTTGGTTGGCTTTGGCATTTATCATTCTGAGGTCAGAATTGTCGGCGGAATGCCGTTTAGATAATTCTCTAACACTTTGTCAAAGTTTTAATTGATTTCGTCGGCAATTCCAACAAATAGGCTGATGTACAGCAATGCAAAATACCGTTGAGATATTTAGTGTGTACAGTTGTATTAATATAAGTTGTTGTTGAAATGACCCATATCTCCACTCACATTCACAAACAAAAGTCTTGCTACATAAGAGTTAACTGATTTCCCCATCAACAAATTTTAATCATTGGTGTATTCTGGTGATTATGACCATGGCATGGCACTATACCTTACTCAAGTTGCCAGTATATTAAAGGTGAACAAGTCATGCATAATAGACTCAAGTATTCACACAGTACAAGAACGATTTAAACAAATAGGAGATATCATCTGAATATCAAACAACTCAGTAATATAGTCAAATCAAATGATCAAACATTAATTAATATAACCAGTAATTGCTGGCCTTCGCCCCAGTGTTCACACAGTACAAGAACGATTCAAACTAACATTTTACATATAATTTAGGTTTTGAGACTTATGAAAGTAGATATATGTAGTCTCTAGAGAAAACTATTATATAGCTAGGACCATCCTTAATTTGATGAGCTCCAATAACAATTAACATTTGGAGTGTACGCCACTATTCAGAATTTAGTGGTTCAAGACGTTTCAGCTCAAACAGCTTTGACCTTTGAGTATCATGTCGAAGGCATTCTCCATGCATGACTTCAGCTTTTGGGAATCTATGAACCCATCTTCTGATCCTATAGCAATCCTCAGCTGCCCCATGTAGCTCACCAACGTTATTACAAGACTCTGCAACACCATCACAAACAAGTTATTCAATTCAACTTCAACTCATTTTTGCTGGAAATTGAACTCAATCTTTATAAGTGGCAGTAGATTTGTATAATTTTAGAATTTTTCATATTTAATTATGCACGATGAATTAATTCATGTCAAAAGTAGAGCCTTTGATACGGCATGCCTGACAAAATTAACCATCTTTTGTTTTACGAACAATTCACTCTATAGAGTGTGTTTGGTTTAAGAAATGTTAGATTATTGAGAATGTTATATTAATAAAAAATTAAATTACCTTAAAGATTATTAGGAATCTTTAGGGAAATGTATTTGGTTAGTTGGAATAAATTGGTGGGTATGTTATATAAATTACTTAATTGCCCTCATTTTTAAATATTAATATAATATTATTTTTATTATTAATTTTTAAATTTTTTTTTAACCCCCAACATTCCATATTTAGTTAAAATGCCCCAGCTTATATAAAACTTTAATTTGTAACAAAATCACCCCCACCCACCCTAAGTCACTGCCAGCCGCCGGCCACCACCACCGAAAGTCACTAAAAATCACCAGGAGTCACCAATATAATCATTTCCGGCCATATTGATGGCCAAAAACGACCAGATGGTCGTAGATCTGGCCGTTAACAAACATGGCCTAGATCTGGCTGTTAACGGCCAGATCCATTGATCTACCGGAAATTGACAAAATAGATCTGGCCCTTTCCAGCAAGATCTACGACCATCAATATGGCCAGAAACGACCATATCGGCAACTCCCAGTGGCAACTCAATCGATGGTGGTTGGTCAACTGCCGGTAGTGGTGGTTGGTCAACTGCCGGTAGTGGTGGTTGGGTGGCGGTGGTAGTCTACAATTTGTTTTAAATGTAAGGGCATTATTGTCCAAAAACTTAATTAAACAGGGGTAAAATTGTAATGGCAGATTAATGTAAATTGTTTTTAAAACAAGGGCATTATTGTCCAAAATTTTATTAATAAGGGATAAAATTGTAATAAAAATAAAATTACCAAGTAATCTTAAAATACCTAAGAAAATGTAGATAATCAAATTACTACTATTGGTTTGGAAAGATTACCAGAATCTTATATTACTTGACAACCAAACGTGGTAATCAAGTAATATGAGATGACATTACCTTAGTAATCAAACATTACCTCCAACCAAACACACCATATATATTAATTACAAGTATGTATTTTGTAATTAAGAGATAGAGTGAATATTAATAAGGACACATTTCCCACCCAAGGTTTGGCACTCTATATATTGATTACAAGTATGTATTTTTTAATTAATATATAGAGTGAATATTAATAAGGATACCAAGAAGAAAAATAATAATAATAAGGTAGAACGACACCTTCCCACCCAAGGTTTGGCACTCTATATATTGATTACAAGTCTGTGTTTTGTAATTAATATATAGAGTGAATATTAATTAGGATACCAAGAAGAAAAATAATAAAAATAAGGGAGAAAGACATTTTCCCACACAAGGTTTGGCAAAACGACCTTTCCCACCCATTATAGGCCTTTTCTTTTCCTAATTCGGGAGCTTTTTTCCACCCCCCAGGTGTTTCCGACTAGGGGTGAGCGATTCCAGGTAACCTGCATTTTTCGGGGGAACGGGAACCCCACAGTGCAGGTTCACAAAAAAAGGAACCAGAATCGGAACCTGTTAGTTCTAGTTCTTAAATTCAAGGAACCGAAACCTGAATTTCAAGTTTCGTTCCTTACCCAGGTACCCTATAAAAATATCAATTACCCCCTATTATTTTAAAAAATGACAAAAATACCTTAAAAGTTTACAAATATACCCTTAGCAATTTAAGAAAACCTACATTTAGTAGTTTTGAACTTTTGATAACTCATTCATTTGTGTCCAATGTGACTCATAAATCCTCTAACACTTGAATTCAATCAATTCATTATAATTCACGTAAAATTTCTTAATCAAAACCAAAGCACAAACAGATTCCAACCAGGTTCCAAGCCGGGTACCCGCTTCAAGTTCTTTTACCCGGTTCTGGTTCTGGTTCCAGTTCTGAAACCTGTAAGAACCGAAACTGGAACTGCATAGTGTCCGTTCTAATAAAATGGAATCAGAACCTACCCACACATTGTCAATTCCAAGTAGGTTCTAATTCTACCCGCTACCCATGCTCACCCCTATTTCCAACCATAGTCTAACCAAGGTTGATTGTGGTACTCCAAGAGAGGTTAGGAAAGCCCCTTTTAAGTTCTTCAATTTTTGGGCCCATGACACTAGATTCTTGGAAATTGTAGAGTTGGTTTGGAGAGAAAATGTGGATGGCAACCCCATGTACCAGCTAGTGACGAAACTTAAGAAACTTAAAGGAGAACTTAATTAGGGTACTTAATCGTAAAGAATATTGGTGTATCTCGGAGAGAGTTAAGGAGGCTAGGGAATCACTCTTGGAAGTTCAAGACAAATTAGCCATTGATCCTTTTAATAGAAACCTTATTGATGAGGAGAATGGTAAAGCTCTTCGTTTTAAAATGTTGAGCTTGGCGGAAGAGAGCCTTGCTAAACAAAAGGCGAGGGTTAATTGGCTTAAGGAAGGAGACCAAAACATGGCATTCTCCTTTAAAACCATCAATGGGAAAAGAAATAGGGAAAAAAATTCCTCTTTGGTTCTTGAGAATGGTTATGTGACTAGGGCCAATGCTAGAATCAAGGAGTTTATGGCGTTCTACCAAAATCTCTTTCAAGAGAAGGAGCCTAAAACAAATTTTGAAAGCCTTGAAGAGCTTATAGCTCCTTATATAAGGGATGAAGAAAAGATGTTTATGGAAGTTGAAGTAACTAGGGAAGAGATTAAGAAAACTTTTTTTGAGCTTGGTAATGATAAAGCATACGGCCTCGATGGTATGATGCCCACTTTTTTAAACGAGCTTGGAGCGTAGTGGGAGAGGATGTTATAGAGGCTATCCAAGATTTTTTTAGATTTGGGAAGATCCTAAATGAAATTAATTGTACCATTATAGCCCTCATGCGGAAATGTGAAAACTCATCCACTTGTCATGACTTTAGACCAATTTCTTGTTGCAACATAATCTATAAATGCATCTCGAAGATTATTGCAAATACAATCAAGGATGCACTCCCAAGCTTTGTTGATCGAGCCCAAGCTGCTTTTGTTAAAGGTAGGAAGATTGGAGATAACATTCTTATATACCAAGAGTTGGTGCACCACAATGGGAGGAAATCAGCCAAGAGTAAGAAATGTGCCTTGAAAGTTGATCTGATGAAAGCTTACGACTCGGTGAATTGGGACTTCATCATCGAAATCCTTAAGGGACCATTTGGATCATATAATGTTTTATTATAGGTATATAATATATTAACAGAAAAGAAGATCACCTTGAAGATTACTGTGAATGTTTAAAAGATGTGTTTGGTTGGTTCAAATAAATTGGTGAATAATATGTTTGGTTGGGAGGATAAATGGGTGGGTATGTTATATAGATTACTAAATTGCCCTCCTTTTTAAATATTAATATAACAGTATTTTTTATTATTATTATTTTGAATAATTTTTTTTAAACCCCTACATTAGAAATTTTACTAAAACACCTCAGTCATATAAAACTTTAATTTGTAGCAAAATAACCCCCATCCACCCCAAGCCACTATCGACAACCCGCCACCACCGCCGACCGCCACTGACAGTCGACGAAATGGCGCACGATTGGCCGTATATGGTTGGTCGTGCATCGGCAAAGCTGGAAATGGCTATGGATCACAAATCTATGGCAGAAAAACAGCCAAATCTATTTTCATTTCACGGCCAAAGATGTGGCCATTTCACGACCACAGATCTGGTCGTGAAAAGGCCAGATCTTTGGTTATGCCATTTCATGGCCATAGAAACGCCAAATCTGGTCGTTTTTTTTCCATGGATCTATAATCCATGGCCGAAAAAGGCCTTACTGGTGCACAACCGGTCAGATCCTGCCGATCGTGCACCATTACGGCTACTAATTTTGATGGCTAGTGGTGGTGAGTCACGATGGGCGGTGGTCTTGGATGGCTGGGGGTATTTTGTTAACTTTTAAACTTTTTTTATGGTTGGGGTGTTTTAGCTAATTTCTCAAATGTAGGGGGGTTAGGTAATTATTATTTGGTAGACATTTAAGGCCAATTGTGTCTAAAATGGTTTTTAATTAAGGGCAAAATGGATAGAAATATCATATTACCTCGGTAATGTTTTAATAACACCCCCTAGCAAGGTAATAAGATTACCCCCTACATTACCAATAGTAACTACTATTTGCAATAAAAGATTCTTGTAATATTTTATTACTTGCAAACCAAACACAAGAATCTTACAAAATAAACAAAGATTACCCCCGTTATCTTATTTGCCCCCGATCCAAACGACCCCTAAGAGGTATGGTTTCCCTCCTAAAGTTGTTTACTGGATTGAGGTTTACATTAAAACGCCTATGTTTTCCATTGCCATCAATGGGGAGTTGGGAGGTTTTTTTGGTAGCTCTAGAGGGTTGAGGCAAGGGGAACCAATCTCACTGTATCTTTTTGTGATGGTTATGGAAGTTCTCTCTCGGATCCTTGGGAAAGTAGCTAAGGATCCTAGTTTCAAATTCCACCTGAGGTGTAGTGTAGAAAACATCACACATCTTTGCTTTGCAGATGATCTCATGATATTTTGTAATGGGGACATGTTATCTATTAGGTTAATTAAGCAAGCTTTGGGAACTTTCAAGGAATGGTCGGGGTTGGAGGCTAACTCTAGTAAGAGCAACTTGTTTTGTTCCGATGTCTCAAAAAAGCAAAAAGAGAATATTTTGTGGGTTATCAACTTTAGAGGAGGAAATTTCCCCATCTGGTATTTGGGCGTCCCTCTTAGTACAAGTAAATTGAAGTGTGTTGATTGCAAAGCTCTTATTGACAAAATACTTGCAAGGATTAATTCTTAGAGAAACAAGTTTTTGTCTTATGCAGGATGAGTCATTCTCATCAAAGTTATTTTGTGGAGCATCCAAGTTTTTTGGTCGTCAATTTTCATCCTTCCCTCGAGAATGCACAAGGAAATTAAGGCCTCCCTTAGGGCTTTCTTATGGTTCAGGTGGGGGATTTGAAGAAAACTAAAGCAAAGATTGCTTAGGAAGATGTATGTGTTCCAAAGGAAGAAGGGGGTCTAGGCATTATGAGAACTAAGGAATGAAACAAGGCAGCTATGATGAGGCATATTTGGAACATTGTCCAAATTAATCCCTCTTCGGGATGGGTCTCTTGTATCAAAACTTATCTATTTAAGAACAAGAGTATTTGGGAAATTCTCATTCCCCATGATTGCTCTTGGACTTGGAGGAGCATCCTTAAGCTTAGAGGTGAGGCTAGGTTGAGAATCAAGTGTGAGGTTGATGATGGGAGACATATTCGGCTTTGGCATGATAATTGGCACAATATTGGCCCGCTTGCCCTCAAATATCATCCTCGGATTATTTATGAATTCAATTTATCTAATGATGCTCGAGTTAGTGAGATTTGCGATCGAGGTGAGTGGAAATTGTGGATTGCAAGCTCTTGGGTGTTATTGGAAATGAAAAGATTGGTCAATTTCAATCCTACCATGAGGGAGGATATAATTGTTTGGATCCCTTCTATGACCAATGGTTTCTCTATTAGTTCGGCATGGAATGAAATAAGGATGAGGAAAGCTAAGGTTGATTGGTCCCATCTTGTGTGGTTCACGAAATCCATTCCAAGACATGCTATTATTCTTTGGATGGCTATTTAAGGGAAGCTCAACACAAAGGATAAGCTTGAGAGGTACGACATTTCACATAACTCTTGTTGTTTTTGTAATTCAGCCCAAGAAACCTTGGATCATCTCTTTTTCTCTTACCCTTCTCTAAGTCTATTTGGAGTCGGACCCTTGCCATTAGTTCTATGGGCTATAAGGTGGTGCCTTGGAATGCTTATATTCATGGCTTATCCTTAAATTGGAAGAGAAATAAGCTTAAGTATTTATTGGCAAAGTTGTGTTTCAATGCCACTATCTATTGGATTTTGGGGGAAAGAAACAATAGGGTGTTTGGAGGGGAGTGTAAAGATGCACTAACCATCCACAATATCATTAGGTTAGTGGTAAGGGATAGGGTCGTGGAGCTAAGGAAAATGAAAAAGACCACGGGAAATAGAAGCCTTTTGCAAATTTGGGGGTTACCGATGTCTATTTTTTATGGGTGATCACTCTGGGTTTTGTGGTCTTGGTGGTGGTGGGACTCTAGAACAAACTTGTTATTGAGGTTCTTTGTCGAGCATAGGGGGGCTATGAGGGTAAAGGTGGTTTTTTTTTTTTTTTTTTTTCTCCTATTTGGGCATTGTGTTTTAGTTTTCTTTGGTTATGTTCCTAACCCGGGGTATGTCCCGAGGTAGTGTATATACATAGCCTTGTAAAGGCTTTTTTTTGGGTCTTCACCCAAGGGATTATCCTGAGGTAGGCTGGTCGCCTTTTATAGGCCTTTTGTATATTCTTTTTCTTTTTTCTAATGAAAGCTTACTTACCCAAAAAATAAACAAAAAAAGTTCCAAAACAACACTTTTCCACCCACCATTATCTTCTGTTAGAAAATCTGTTACTATTTGGCTATAAAGATGAAAATACCCCTTATTATTTGACTTAATAATTCATTTATTATTTTATGTAATGTCAATAGATTCAATTACCAATATACCCACTCATTAAATATAAAATTGTTGATATACCCTCAACTATTCATGGGAACTAAATTACCAATTTATCCTTTCAATTTTTTTATTAAAAATAATTTAATGGAATTTAATAAAAAATTATATACAATTTTTTTTCACAAACTCATAATATACAAGATATACCAACTTCCAACAAACACATTAAAATTTTCAAGCACATTAAAAACTGAATCTGGGACTCCAAGATATATATAAAAATAGATATTTTAAAATGGGCTTTGCTTTAAATAATCAAATAGATCCATAAAATTATGAATATCAATAGGGAAAACTTAACCTAGAAACGTTATCTTAAAGTTTTCCATTTTCTGGATTAATAACCTGTGCATTGTTAAAGACACCTCAATTATTCAGGTGTTGTCTATTTAAATTTGTTAATTTGTGTAGGGCGTATATTAAACTTGCTAGAAAATAATGATAAATATACTTTTTTTTTCTTTAATACCTTTACCAATAAATGAATTTAGTTGGGTTTAATCTAATTTTCAAATGCGCGCATGCCAGGGGATGGGGGAGGGGTACTCATGTGCGCGTAGGAAGGCTGGGGGCTCGCGTAATAGGCGCTGGGTAGGGTTTTTTGTCGAACGGGTGGTGGGCGACTTGGCAAGGTAACTCTGTGAAGGGATTGGATATGGCGAAAATCATCCAAATCTTCCACAAAGCAGAAATAAAAAACAACGCTTCAAAATCAAATCAAACTCCACAAAATCAACAAAACAATCCACTTTCAACTGTCAAACACAAATTTCTCCAAATAGCAGCGGCAAAGGCAAGGCTATGGGTGCAAGATGATGAGGAACGATCGGTGGGGGACGATGGGGTAGATGGAGGTAGCGGCGAATGGCGAGGGGGTTGGATGCGACTTTTCGTAGTCGTTAGGTTGCGCAACTTCTAAGGAGATATGAGGTCTTTGAGGCGGAAGCTTGGTAGAGTGGTAAGCAGAACGGGTTTGGGGCGATGAAGAGCTGGTGATGGAGGCAGGCATAGTCATTGAAGGCGGGGAGAGAGGTCGACTACGGTGTCGACAAGAGGCCGACTCAGGTGCCGACAGGAGACTGACTCATGGCTGAAGGTTGCAACACCACCAGCCCAGGTGGCGGTTGTAGGATACGCCAATGTAGCAACCTCCAGCGTAGAAGGAAGAGATGATGGCGAAGAAAAGATAAGAAGACAAAAAGGCAGAAGGAAAGAAAGAGAAGGAAAGGAAAAGAAAAGAAAAATGAAAGGGAAAATTTCAATTTTTAAATTTTGATTTATGAGGCTTCAAAGTAAATTGATTATCCTTCTTTAGAAAGGATTATCTTACCCTTCTTTAGAAAGGATTTTTCTAACAGAACATAACGGTGAATGAAAAAGTGTCGTTTTGAAACTTAATAAATGGGGGAGTGGCGTTTCGCTAAACCTTTAAGTGGGAATATGTCGTTCTACCTATTAATAATTATGAATGCTCTAGAAGTAGCTGTCTTATATCATTTTTTTATAGAGCAAACGGCACATTAATATTTTGATTAGGAGCGTACCTGTGGTGAGCCGAACACCATAAAGTACAAGCCGTTAATTGGATGGTTGGCCAAAGCCGTTTTCTCGACGGGCCCTATCATATTTGTGATTGCCATGCTCGAGTTGTTGAGTGTGCGATAGACATATTTAGCTGCTGCCTGCAATGCAAATATATATATAGCATTAATCTGGCAATTTATGGTACTTTGAGGGAATAAATAATAAATTAATTAAGTTAAACATATGTATACCTCAGGGCCTCTAAATTTCTTCACCATGTCCAGGAGCCTAGCAGTGAGGTAAACACCGAATGAACTCCGCTTACCCTTGATTATTTCATGTGCTTTCTTGATGAATTCCAGGGGATTTGAAAGCTCAGCATCAGTTAACTTGGGTATCGGCATTTGCAAAGTTGCAAAATGGTTTCCCCATGGTGATTTGGAGTCAGGTTTAAGCATCTCCTTCACTGAACTGTAACTCCTTAACATCCTGATGTTTAGCATCAAAACTGCTGTAGAATCCATATTACTTGACTCCTGGCTAACCGATTGCATGTATAACCGAGTCCCCAAGAAGATTACTCCAGTAATAACATCGTTTACCGACTGTGTCATATGTAAGGGAAATTAAATATAATTTGCAGTCATATTATGAAACAAAATAGGGGTAAAGAGAAAAAGATTGTAGCCAAAATGGAATGTTAATAAATTTTAGAGATGAAATTGATGTATTTATATACTAAAATTGAAAATTTAATTTTGCTGAAGGTTTAAGCTATATATCATCTGTCCTGAGAACGATACTTTGGGTTCCTAAACTATTCTTAAGTTCATGTAATTTACTAAATGTGAATGAACTATCAAAATTCAATTAATTAAACTTGACATTAGAATGGGCCTCAATGTAATATATTGAACATTATCATAAGTATCCCCAACGGCCCAACCCCAATTGGTAAGAGCCTTTTCAGTGAAGTCATTTAGAGTAAAAGGTCCTTGGAAAGTATCATTTAATAATGTGTTTGTGCACAGGGAAAAGTAGGGTAATGTGTGGGATAAGCGTGAAAGAAAAATTGTCATAAAAGAAGTGAAACCGCTGATATTAATGCCTAATGTAATTTCAGTATTATTCTAAAGATATAATTAATAAATACATTTATGACCCCAATTTTAAATACATTACAAATTATTATATATTTTTCTTATTTATGATATTGTATATGAATATAAATATGAGTGGTATTACATATATAAACTACTTATATAAACTCTTGTATACAAACTATTGTCACATCATTTATCTATATTAATTAGTATTTATTGAATTATTTTGTATATAAATTCATTCATTTGTCTTGTGTCATATAGATTTATAGGAAAGAGTTTGTACATATGAATATTATTTTATAAAAAGAAATTAATCCATTAGGTTTCCGCTCCCTCTATTATTATGCGGCCATCCAACTACCGTACAATTATTATCTTGAAAGTTATGCCAGTTAAACTTTCAAGATAGGCGGCAGCAAACAAATGTCTCCTCAGCTACATCATCAAAACTATAATTTACCTCCTGCTTAGTGATTATTCGAGTTTTAGTTTTGACCATCAATCAACAAACTTTTCGCATATATCTTACTGAAATTTTAGTCAGATAAGTACTAAAAACTTGCTATATACATTTATATACTTACCACTCCAAGCTTTGTCTTAATTTGCTTGATTTGATAAAGAGAGAATATTATTGTTGATATGCTCACTGGTCCATACCCCACTCCGATGCTGCCTGATCGTATAGGCGTTTGTCGATCTTTAACCAGACTGCTCTTCAGGCTCCGACAAAAATCTGTAGTAGAATTAAATATTGAAGACACAATTTTAGGCACATTCCTGATTAAGCCATTGTCGCCATTTTTGCTCGAAATTATTGGTTGCGTTGTGACAGAAGGAAATGTCACTGGAAGAGAAGGATCGTCGGCTCTTTGGAGACATGAAAAAAGAGCTCCCATCAAAGAGAAGCCATCGCCAAGTGCATGGTGAAGCTTGAACATTATAGTACCAGCTGCATTGCATGTTGGGTATTTAAAGAGGTGAATTTCCCATAAAGGTCGGTGCTGTGAAAGCGGTTCTATGCCTATTTTTGAGATATAGTCATGCTGGCATTTTTCGTAAAATTCTGGTGTCTTTTCTGCTGGGAAAATAGGATCTTTTACGTGGTCTTTCAGCTGCACTTCAACCTTCTTCCATTGTTTAACTCCATTTTTGTCAACCTGTTTAAGAAGTGTTCCACACTACTTCAACGTATGATAACAATAAATCATAATTCATAAATTGTTTAGCAAAAGCACTTTATGAAGAGTTATCAGGATTCGACTAGAATAGAGAAACAACTATATTTCTTTCAACGGCAAAGCATAAAATTCTTTAAGAGTCATTTATTGTTCGGAGAACAAATATTTAACAATGAGAGCAATGGGGCCTTTTAGTTTATAATAGAAAATTAGCTATAATAAACTCTCACACACGTATATAGGCATTACCATGATGGACGAAAAGCGCGGGTTAATGGGGAGGAGCATATTTTTGAGCAATGGGATAGTTTGGGAGTCATCAATGGGCACTTCTGTTTCCAGAACACCAATAACGACAATGGACAACACTGAGCTATTGAAATATTGCGCAATAGGGCTCACAGGCACAGGCACTGGTTCTTCTTCGGCAGCTACTATCTTGAATGACTCCATAGCTGTGCTTTTGTTTCTTGTGTTGAGCTTGTATGTTTTTCCACTGAGCAACAAGACTCTTTATATCAACAGCAGTTAAATAAGGGCATCAACCACTAAATAAAAATCAATAAAGGGCATTCAATATCTGGCTTCTGATTTCACTCTCTACATATTAAAGTTCATCCAGAAGTAGGCCATAAGCCCATAACTATTCTTGACCAAGCGTCTTCAACTTCAAGTAATTGCCCCATGGGTCATAATTTCTCGGAGTCTCAAATCTAACCATTTTAGTTGTCTGTTTGAACTGATGATTAATGCACAACCTTTCGGGTTACGTGATAGGGAGAATTACAAGTTCCCACCCAAGGTTAGACATTACTAAATTCTACCCAAAAGGTTTCAAAAAAACAATTTCCCACCCATCGATAAGATTCCTTTAGTGAGATATATTACTTGACATGTTTAAAGCTACGAAAAGACTATAATACCTTTTACTAGTTGACTTTATAATTTTGAATGAGGTTGAATAATATTTTTCCACCCAAACTTTATTAAATATATTTTTCACTCCTAATTTAGTTTATATTAATTTTAGGGTTAATAAATTTAAAAAACAAACTCAATTATTTAAAATAAACTGTGAACTCGCTGACCACGGTTGCCAGCGAAAGTCGATGTCATTGGATAGATCGTAGGTCAATCTATCCAACAACACTAACGGTGTGGTTGGACTCGTCGTCGGAGATTGAACCCATATTCTGCCGATGACAGTTGGTTGACGTACACGTCGGCCAGTTTTTATTCTTCATAGATTTTTTTTAGAAGTTAAATAAAAAAAAAAAAAAATTGAAATTGGAGATGGGGGTTTAAATGGTTAATTCCCAAGTTGGTGAATATAATTGTCATGCATTTGTAATTTAGGGTTGTAAAAACATTAACCCTATAATATATTGTGTGCAAACCGAAAATAATGTTGACTTTTAACAATGGGTGGAAAATTGTTTTTTTTAAACCTTTCAAGGGGAAAAAATTATTTACGCCTAACCTTGGGTGGGTGGAAAATTGTCATTCTCCCAAGTCCCAAGTGATACAGTGAAACCGTTCACCGGGAAGCCATCAGTTGATTAATTTGTTGATTTCTGACATGATAGGATATGATTTAAATTATAAATTAAAACTGGGAGAACGGCCTTTTCACCCCCAAGGTTTGGCGGAACGACACTTTCCCACCCATCAAGTTTCAAAATGACATTTTCCCACCCTCGGTTAAATTCTGTTAGTGTTTACCGTTTTGAGCAAGGGTACGTAATATGGTTAATTTACATCAAGCCGCAAAAATATAAAATAAAAAATTGAAATCTAGGGTTTAGCGCTGAATGGTTGCCAAGTGAAGTTGACTTTGAAAAAAAAATATCAAAAAGTTGCGTAACTTTTTCTCCCATATTCTATTGTAACTCTCTCTCTCCTCTGAAACTAAAGTGACACTCTCTGAAACTGAAGCACTGCGACCTAGAGCTCTATCGTAACTCTCTCTGCTCTCTAAATCTGAAGGTTTTCTCTCTATTATGTCGTAACCCTTTCTTCTGCTCACATATTGGCTTCTTTTCCAAACGCAATTGCCTTCTATTTTGGTATCTTCTTGGGCTGATCATGGCAGTGGTTTGAATGCACGACAATTCCTTGGATATTTTGTGTTCTTCCTGTTCTTCAAAACTGAAGCGATTGGGAACTTAAGGTTTTTGTTTTATGTTAAACTCTCGGGGTTCAGTTGATTTCCACAACTTTAAATTCTTGCATCGTGCTATTACATAACCATTTGGTTCTTCTTACAAGGTTCAGATACACCCAGTGGTAGTAATTTTTAACAGCATGGTTTTGTTTTGTGTCTTTGAGTAGGCTGATTCATTTGCATAGTTTTTCAAATTTTGACATAGGGTACTTTGTTCTTGTACACTGTACTTCTGTGATAATTTGACATTACATACAAGTCTATTGGCGATAATTGTCACTTTTATAAGTGAATGGATTATTCATTTTAAGAGTTTGGTAGTATTTTCGTATGCTAATAGTTTTATGTGACAATCTGAGACTTAGTTTTTTTTAGTGTTAGAAGTTTTGCGTATAACCTCATTGAATAGACTTGTGATTTTTGTTCATATATCAAATATGTGGTAACATATGGAATGGACTTTAAATGCAGAATCCTCATATACTATTGTGTGAGGCTCTCTTAGATCAAGTGGTTGAGTTGTTCCATTGCTCGCATAGTGCAACTTTGGCTCTTCTACCATTTGACTGCAGAGACACACAAATAAGAAAAAAAAGAAAAAAAAGAAAGCACGTACTTATTTACAGAAACCTTTTTCGGATAATAAAAATAAAAAATGAAGAAAAAAGCTCTTTCAAGTGGCAAACAAGAGTTTGGACATCGTAAAATTAAGCTTATACCACTGGTTTTCTATTTTCAACCTACAGTCGCTTGAGAGTAGAAGTTATAAAAAATTATTTATATATGTGTGTATGTATGCGCGCGCACTACAATTTTATAATTTAGATTCTTTTTTTCAAATATTAATAATACTAGTACTTTGTGCAGTAACTATAAGGACAAAATAATAATTCTATAGGTTTAAAATTTTTAAAATTCCAACATTAACTTCGTACGTTTGAGACATTATTTTTAATGAAAAACAAGGATACATTAGTAATTTAATTGTCATATAAAGTTGAGGATATACTAGTAATTTCATATTTGAACAGTGGGTATTTTGGTAATTGACTTTATTGACATGACAAAAAATAATAAAAAACAATAAAGTCAAATATGTAAGGGTATTTTTGTCTTTTTAATCACCTACTAACAGAACCTAACAAAGAGTGAGAAAATGTCATTTTGAAACTTGTAAGGGTGGGAAAATGTCGTTTCGCCAAACCTTGGGGGTGAAAAAGTCGTTCTCCCATTAAAACTTAATGTCTAGACCATGGTTATCAAATCGTGTATCGTATCGTGTATCGAAAACCTAATTTTTTGAATCATGTATCGCATATCGTATTGTATCGTAAGATACGCCTTTTTCAAAAAAATTAATAAAATAATCAAAATTTTCTAAAAATTAATATAATCCCCAAGATTAATTAAAGAATTTTGTGGTATTATTGACTTTAAATTACGGTATTACATAATCAAAACTAATCACAAAATTCCAAGATCAATGTCAATATCTATATCTCTAATTATATTATTATTATCATGTAAAATGGGTAATATATATTTCTCTTCACTTTCTCTATGCAAAATAGGTAAATTTGGACAGGTTTTAGTGAATCGGGTTGGGTGACTCGGTTTCGACCCAAATTTTTTTTTGGATCTTTGGCCTAAATTAATAAAATCGTATCGATATTTTTAAGGATACGAACGGATACGTATCGTATCGTAGGATACATATCAACGTATCGAATGGTTTAGAATATACTTTCTGATATGTATCATTGGCGACCTGTATTGAATCGTATCAGATATCATAGGATACTAACAACCATGGCCTAGACATGATCATAAATCTGAGCATGCACCAATGTGGGATACAGTCCAAGCCGAAGCTGCAACTGCGCCCATGTAGCAGTAATTAAGACGAACGCTGCACTTGAAGAGCCAGCCAGCTGATAATGATAAGACAGAAATGAAAGGTAATATCACAAACTCTGGGAGAGCCGCGACTTGCATAAAGAGCACAGGAAGAAGACAAAATTATAATCGAGATAGATAAATGAGGAAATTCTGGATACGTAAGGCAAGCATTGATTTGGAGGACAAAATTGGTGAGAATAAATATTGTAAATGAGATCATTATCAGTTTATTCTGAAGCTAGGTTTGGCTGAAGCTCTGCTCATCCAGTCAAACCTTACCTTATATTGAGCCACTTCACCATAAATATTTTAGTAAATGAGATCATTATCAGTTTAATATTGTAGTATCTTAAGAGAGAAAAACAAAATTTGAAGCAATTATAATCTCATGAATTGAGTTAACAGGCTAATGAGTCCCCTTCTTTTTGGCACTGTACCTCCCAATCAAATTCGTGGTAACACTCATAATGATCAATTATACAAAGATCTCATTTTAGTCCAAATGCTCGTAGCATTTGTCCTGACAAATACCAATTTAAAGCTTCTCCTCCACCAATAATGCCTACTCCTTCAACACGTTCTGTTTCGAGTAATAAGTTTTTCATATTCACTATATAAATTTTTGAAAAACAAATACTATGTTTTAGTTATTTTATTATATATGTATATTTGTCTGAGATTTCAGAGAATAGTGTTCCCTAATACCTGTTTTTTTTTTAACCTTTAAGGAGACTTGAGCTTTTAATTAATTGTACACATAATTAGCAAACACAAATCCTTTGACAAAAATAATACCTCTGGTGTCAACTTTTACCTAATTAGAAAATGAGACTTGTAATAATAAAGAATTAATTATAGGAAAATGATAGAGTTACCGAAAAGTTTACACTGAATTTGTGCACCGAATGACGTAACAAAATTCTGACCGTTAATTAATATTAACTGATAATAAATTAATTATCAAAATTTTATTACGTCTGTACAAATTCGATGCATACCTGTCAATAACTGTAGCATTACTCTTAATTATATATTCTGACATATATCTGTAAGGTTGAGAAAGAGATATAGATAAATGTAACATTCAATGATCAGTTGTATTTTTATTTTTTTTTGGGTTGGCTTTCGCATTTATCACTCTGAGGTCAGAAATTGTCGGTGGAATTCTGTTTAGAATAATTCTCTAACACTTTGTCAAAGTTTTTAATTTGATATTTCGTCGGCAATTCCAACAATTAAGACTGATGTACAGCAATGCATAATACAGTTGAGATATTTAGTGTGTACAGTTGTATTAATATAATTTGTTGTTGTTAAATGACCACATATCTCCACTCACATTCACTAATAAAAGTCTTGCTACATAAGATGTTAACTTCGCTCAATGAACTGATTTCCCCATCAATCAAATTTTA